TTTTTGATTTATGAAACTATAATTAGTATTAAAAATATTAATCTTTGACACAATGATTATATAAACGATCTGTATGTAAATGTAGTTCAAATAAATTATTTTTGGTTTTTCAAAAATAATTAATGTTTTATTTTGTTATTGGGCATTTTTAATCTTATAAAATTATAATTTATATTAGAAATATTTATAATCCAATAAGGAATAATAATAAAGAAAAAAAAATAAGAAAAAAGAAAAGTTATCTTCGTTTGACTAATAAACTGGTCGGTGACTTGAACGATAAGACAAACTTATAATTAATGAATCCAAGTTATTGCATAACAGTGAGGATCGTTGTTTCTCCTTGGTAATACGAATATAAGACAATCGTTTATTTCTTTTAAACATAAATAAATGAATAGTCTCTGTAAATTTATTATTATTATTATTTAAATGACGAAGTTTGAATATTTTCTTTTTATTAATAATACGTATTGAATTATATTTCGTTAGTTGTCTAATAAAAAAATAATTCAAATCTTATCGATATATTTAAAATAAATATGAATTAATTTAAATTTATAGGAAATTGTTAGGAAAGGTGGGGAAAGACAGGGGTAGTACGAATAATTTTTGCAATTCACTATACATATACGTATTTATAAATTATGATAGTAAATATATCTTTGACAAATCGAATTTATTTTTGATAAATCAATTTTTTTTTTTCATATCAATTTGATAAATCAAAATTTTAATTTATATTTAAATAAATGCAAAACAAGAATTTTATAATAATTAGATTGGTAAATAATATTGTTTAAATAAATTGATATTAAATTATTATGTTTGATTGAATCGTATGAAAGAAAAATATTCAATCACATATTTAGACGATAATTAAATTTCAAGGAAATGTTAGTGAGAGAAAAAGAAAACACAAAAAAATGTTTTGCATATGTGAACGAATATAAAATATATGAGTATTTAGAATAAGTTACTACGCGTCACGAATATTACTAGCTACAAATAAAACTTAAGAATATAAGAAGGAATGACGTGATGTCATCACCAAAGGAGTACCAATGTCGTCGTGTTTGTCGTTTGTGTAAAAAAATTTCTCATAGAGATACAAAATGAGTTATTTATACAAGTATATACAACATTATGAATCAGAAATTTTTATTAGTTATATTGTAGTATATTTATTATATTTAATTATATAATTATAAAATTATTATAATAAGTATATTATAATATAATATATTATAATAATAGTGTAATAAATATATTGCTATATATAAATAATTTATTTACTTTTTTTTTTTTTAATCAAATAATCGTATAATAAAATTACCCAAAAACAATGATGGAAAATAAATATTATATACATATATGTTTATAATATTATAAATATTATATAATTATATTTAAAAATATAATATAATATAAATTAATATTTAGAAATATAATATAATATAAATTAATATTTAATTTATAATTATTCCTAATATAAATTAGAATTTCATAAACTACAAAATATTTCTAATATAAATATAATTATATGTTCATAATATTCATTATATATACAGGGTGATCTGTAACTAGTGGTACAAGCGAAAAGGGGATGATTCTACATGAACATAAAAATTGAAAGTATTGAATAAACATATTTCGTTTGAGGCTTTGTTTTCGAGAAAATCGACTTTGAATTTTCGCAAAGTACGCGTGCACTTGATCATGTCTCCTTATAACGGACCTACGAAAAGTTCGTAGGGTATTTTTGAAAAGTTCGTAGGTCCGTTATAACGAGACTTGATCAATTGCACGCGTACTTTGCGAAAATTCAAAGTCGATTTTCTCGAAAACAAAGCCTCAAACGAAAAATTTTTATTCTATATTTTCGATTTATTTTTTGTTATGTAGAATCACCCCCTTTTCGCTTGTACTAACAGTTATTGATCATCCTGTATATGTGTGTTACTTTGAAAGATCTAAATTTTAGAATTTCATGATTCACAGTATGAAATTTCGAAATATACAAACAAAAAAAAAACACTTTGGTGAAAGATCAAATATTACGATTTATTTTTATATATCAATATTCAATTTTATTTTTCTCTTTTTTTCTGAAACATATCACTGTTATTTCTTGTTACCCAATGGGTGTAAAAATACGTGTAAAAAAAAAGAAAAATATATACATCCAACGAAGTACTGTGTCAAAAGGTATATTATTCGTCAACATACATATTTTCATAATCGTTAAGAGAATTAACATAAATGGTAGTTTGTACGTCGTACTCAACTCACGTATTACCTACCCTTTAATTTAAATAGTGCTACTTTCGTTCTTGCTATACGAACTTACTGTAAATCGGTGATTATAATACACCACTACCAGGTTATTATACACACACATAAATCGTAAATCGTAAATTTTCTTGCATTAAATGGAAGCCTTATATCTGAAAAAATTGGTGGAAGTGAATAAAATAAGGTAGAAGGTGATAGAAGGGGTAAGAGGGGTAAAAGAGGAGTAGGAGAGTAGGGGTAGAAGTGTTTGAGTATTTCAACATAAATCGTAAATCTTCTTGCATTAAATGGAAGCCTTCTATCTAAAAAAAATTGGTAGGGGTTGTAGATGATGGTAGAAGGGGTATAAGGGGTGAGGGAAGTAGGGGAGGGGATGTTTGAGTATTTTGAACATCAATCACGGAAGAGTAAAAAGTTAGAGATTTATATAAGAGTTTTTTTTTCTTAGCTTGTTATTGAAACACTGTGAAAGGGTGGAGGAGGGAAAAAAGGGTGAGGAAAAAAAATAGAGAGAAAAAAAAAGTAGGACGAGTGGTATTTCGGTTAGTTGAATAATCAAACAACAGCTTGTCTGTTATAGGTGCCATAGAAATAGATCTTAGGTATGAAAAGTGTTAGTTTATGCGATCGAATGATGATGTTATCGTGTTAGATCATTTTATAATGTGAGAATGTTATTTTCAACATTGTTATTTCAATGAAAATCATTTTAAAATGAAAACAAAGATTTTCTTTTAATGGAACGTTTTTGTTTGTAATAATAATAATAATAATTTGTGTTAATATTATTATAATAAAATAATATAGATTAATATTAAAAAATAATAATAATAATAAATAAAATATATACATATATATTCTTTTAATAATATATAATATATTTTAAAAAAATACAGAAGTAAGAAACTTTTGTCAACAATATTTAATATTATATAGTACAATATATGTATGAAATGCAATTATTTGATTTAATTTACTGTAATACTAAGTATAAAAACTAATTTATTCCTACTCTACTATCTTTCGAGGTTACTCTTTGATGATTAAAATACTTTACTAAAGGTAATGTACATTTTAAATGCGTTTTCAATGATTGGTAAGTATTAATATTTCATATATTTCTTTTTTTAGAAATCATGTCATGTAATACGTAAAATACGACTCATGAAAAATGATACCTTAAAAAAATATCATGTGTGTAGATCACACGTGTTAGAAGTGAAATCTTCCAAAAACTTAGTTTCGAGAGAATAAAACGAATGCACAGTTTCAAGAGTAAGACAATTGTAGGGCTTATTTATTATAATATTATTACCATATATAACAAAGGTCACCGGTATGATCTCGGAGTGGAATAGCTGATAAAAACTACACTTTTCCAAATTCAAGCAATAAAAATTGATGAATGTCATAGATAGACACAAAAAACGTAGAATGCTTATCGAGGGAAATAATTCACACACACACACAAAATACAAACACGTGTGGTGTCGTGTCCCGTGTCCCGTGTCTCGTGTCTCGTGTCTCGTCTCCTGTGTCCCTAGTTTCATGTCTCGTCTCCTGTGCTCCGCGTCTCGTGCGTCGTCGTGAACGTGCGTCGTGAACGTGCGTCGTGAACGAGCCTCGAAACAGAACCTCGAGAAAAAGCCTCGAGAAAGAGCTTTGAGATAGAGCCTCGTGAACGAGATTCGCATTATTCTCATAAGCAAAACTAATTCATGAAAACTGTAAAGAAACCTTAAGCATCAGGATAATTTACAATCCTTTTTTACTGAATGATAATACTGGTAATATAATATCAAATCTTCTCAGTGTAAGGCTGAGTCAACGCAACTGCGAAGTAAAGTTGTTGTTATTTTTTAAGTGAAAACTTTTATAGAATAGGTGTGATTTGACGTTACAAGCATCGTAAACGAGCCTCCTAAAAGAGCCTCGTTTTCGAGGCTCCTTTACGGGGCTCGTTTACGAGGCTCTTTTACGAGGCTCGCTTACGGGGCTCGCTTACGGGGCTCGTTTACGAGGCTCTTTTATGAGGCTCGCTTACGGGGTTCGTTTACGGGGTTCGTTTACGAGGCTCCTTTACAGGGCTCGTTTAAGGGGCTCGTTTACGGGGCTTATTTACGGGGTTCATTTACGAGGCTTGTTTACGAGGCGAATGATGAATGCTTACAGTTTTTTTATAGTTTCCATGAAATAGTTTTGCTTATAAGAAAAATGCGAACACTAGCGGCTAGTCGAAGGACTATCTTCTGTTTTTAAGGTAGTTCTTTAATTGACCACTATACTGGCTTAGTATCGATATTATATCAGTCAACGCTTCGTAGTATGCAGTCGCACACAAACACACACATGTACAAAGGTTAGTAGCCAGAATTGATGTCTACGAATCATAGCATAAAGAGGAGACCGAGAATAGGAAATACTGTATAGCTATATTCTGTCTCATTTTCTCGCAGGCTCAATTCTATATGTTTGTCTCTTTTTCTCTTCTTACTAAATATCGTGGCCGTTACATAGCCGCCCGCCGCTCCGTTACATCGCCGCCACGTTTCATTTTTTTTAAATCACTCTCTATTCTAAAGAAGTTTTCACTTCAAAAAGAAATCACCCCCTATTCTAAAGAAGTTTAAATTTTAAAAAGAATAAAAGAATAAATCTTATGTATCGGACAGTTATATATTAATTTTTTTCTTTGATTTATTCAGAGTGGAGAATGGTTACGATTGAAAGTATTGGAGGTGCAACCGGAATTAACGAAACTTGGTTCTTCGGTTAAAGAAGCCACAGAATTATCGAACTCACACAATGAAGTTCTTCTGCGATTGCAGGTAAGAAGAAAAAAAAACAAGAAAGAAAGAAAAATTAATAAGAAAAAAAAGAGTATATATAAAACTTGACCAAAAGAAAAAGAAAAAAAATTGAGGACATAAAACTTGACCAAAAAAAAAAGAAATAAATGGGAACTAAAAATGAACAAAATTACAAAAATAATAAATAATAATAGTAGTAATAATAATAATAGTAATAATAATAATAATAATAATAATAATAATAATAATAATAATAATAATAATAATATATGAATATAAAAAATATTGATTACATATAAGATGCTTGCTTGTTTTATATCTTTTTAATTTTTTTCTATAATAATATTTGTCAATTTAGAATAAACATAAAATAAGAAAATTAATAAAAGATTGGATGTAGATAGTTTATCATTAATTTATATTTCAACAATTTAGAGTAAACAAAGTCCGGTTGAAGAATTATTACGTCAAGCTGATCAATTGATATCAACTCAAAGACCAAGGGCTGAAATTTATGCAGCAATGGCAGAAACTTTGGGTCAAGCATGGCGTGACGTTAATGATTTATTGGAAAGAAGAAAACAAATTCTTGATTGTAACGTATTGTTTCAATGGTACGTATCAAAATATCAATTTTTATCATAATAACCAAAATATAAAAAAAAACCTATCGGAAAAAAAGAGAATGTGAGTTTAAGGAATAATAAAAAAGTATAAATTAATTATTATTATTATTTTTATTAAAATAAAGTCGTGCAGAAGAATGTGGTGAAAGTATGAAAGCACTCGAGATGGCATGCAACGATCATTTGTTACCAATCGAAATAGATGCTGTTAAAAATTTTCTATCCAAGATACACGATCTTCGTAAAACCATGTTGGAAGCTTTGATGGGTGCATTGCAAGAAGGAAAAACGTTGTTGGATAAATTAAAAGAAATTGCAAACGAAGGTACTTTGGATTCAAGACCGGATAAAATCAAAATTGATGCTGATCATGGTAAATAAATTATTTAATAGTAATATTGTTATTATATTTATAAATGCGATAAATTAATGCAAAATTAATTAATTCATTTTATTCTTATAACTTTAGCGGTTTTGAAGGTAGAAAGATGGTTGGAAGATCTCCATGATAAAAGACGTTTAATCGAAGCTTCATTTCGTAGTAGAAAAACACAATTGGAACAATGTTTAGCTCTTGCATTATTGGCTACCGATTTACGTGATTTGGAAGAGATTTTGAACGATAGGATTTCTGCCTTGTCAAGTAGTTGTGATCAATTAGGTGATACTTCATCAAGTGCTGAATTACTTCTTTTCGAATTGAAGAAATTGCAAACTGAAGCTAAGGTACTCCCATCTTTTTTTTCTCATTCAATCAAAAGGTTAAACATCCTATTAATTTACCTTTTGATTTTGTTAACTATCAGGAGTTTCAAGATCGATCAATCAAGATTACGAAATCAACCGAACGATTGGTGTCATCGGGACACTTTGCCGGTGAACAAGCAACAGAACAAGCATACGCTATACTAGGTGCTGCAGCTGATTATGTCAACGATTTGGATCAGTATGAGACATTGTTGAACAGAGCCGTGGCATTTTTCGAGGCCGCACGTTCGGTCAGTATCTAAATTGTTCTATCAAATGACGTCACCCATTGTTGTTGATTTAGTTTACCAAATCTATGATACCCTCTACCCTCCACCCTTCCCTCTCCTGTCCTTTAACCTTTTTAACTGAGGATGACGAATTCAATCATTATAGTATTCATAGTACTTTAAAGTGTCCAGTATTTTAAGTTGGTACATTTTATTTGGGATTTTTGTATTATTTGATAGTTTGTATTAAGAGAATGTTGTATTTAGGTGTTATAATAATTGGTGGACCACCCTGTATATTTACATAATTAGGTGTTAGAATAGTTGGTGTACCACCCTATTTATTTATATATTTGGAATATTTGGAATTTTTATATTATTTAATATTTTAATATTACATTGTGTTAGGTGTTATAATAATTGGTGTACCACCCTGTAAATTTTGTATATTTGGAGTATTTGGAATTTTTATATTATTTAATATTTTAATATAATATTGTATTTAGGTGTTATAATAGTTGGTGTACCATCCTGTAAATTTATTTATTTGGAATTTTAATATAATATTTTGTACTTAGGTGCTATAATACTAGATGTACCATCAACTATTAATGCATATTTATATATTTGGTATTTAATATTGTACTTAATTACTATAATAATTGCTAAAACACCTCCTCAACTCTTAAAATTTTGTATTTCTTACTAATATTCATTTAAATCATAAACTATTATTTTTCTAAATATTTGTACATGATATATTATAACTTTGTGTTCAATATTATTAGTTCATTATTTATTACAATATATCTAATCATATTTAAATATTTATATTTATTTGAAGGCTATTACGAAATTGGATCAATTGGAGATTCAACTGGTTACGACAGAACATCCACCGTTTTCAACACGCTTAGCACGTTTCCATGGTCAGATGGTTAACACGATCGAGGATGTTACTTCTAAACCTTTGATGGAAGGATACGCATTGCTTGATATTACGGGAAGAGGTGCGCCCGGAGCTGAGGTTAAGTCACGTCATTATTTTTAAATGACTTAATTATTGTTGCGTCTTATAATGTTGGTTAATAAGTTTGTATTGTTTTGTTCTTAATTCAAACAGGGTGTGAGACGTACAGTTGAAGAATTGGAGAATCGTAAGATACGTTTATTGCAACGATGTACAGCAAATGAGGAAGAAAATCTTGAAATATCAAGAATGATTAATATATTTTTGGAAAAATATGAAGAATTGCACGTATGGTTGACCAACATTGCTGAAGCTTTTCTACAAGGTCATCAAGATATGGGCAGTGATTTACCAATGGCCAAAGATTTTTATAAACTTCACGATCAATTGTTAAATGATTTGGATAAACGTAATAACGAGGTTGAACATTTGGAATTTGAGATATTACCGATACGTGAAAGATTGGATGAATCGCAAAAACATGAATTTCATACGAAAATTATCGAATTGCAAAATTCATGGGCTAAAACAAAGAACATTGTTGCTCGAAGAGTTGATCTTGGTTATCTTTATGTACAATTTCATGAGATAGTTGAAGAATTGAGAAATAAAATAGAATTGTTTGATAATAATTTGGAAAATTGTACAGAGGAATCTAAAATTGATGATTTGATGAACAAATGGAAAACAATTCAATCGATTTATTTGAAATTGTCGAACAGTGGCAAAGTTTTCTTAGACGAAGCAGCCAAGGTATTTCAATGTTTGATTTTAATAAAAATATTATTTTATTATTATATTTAAATTTATTTATATAAAATTATTTAATATTAATTATTATTTTTTTCTTTCTTTCGATATTGTTATAATTTGTTATTTAATATATTATTATATTATTTATATTTTATATAATTTTATATATTTATTATAATTTTTATATTATAAAAATATTATATTTTATATTACATTTACTAAAATTTTTGAAATATTTATTTTGTAGATAAATGATCCATATTTGGATGTAACCAGAGCATGTTTATGCGTGCAAACTTTGTTAGAAATATTTGCAAACAGACAATTAACAATCACAGAATCTTGGGAAAAATGGCAAACGACTATTAAAATATTGAAAGAACGACGAATCGAACATGAACGAAAAATCGAAGAAAGTACCAAGGTTGGTTTTAAAACAAAAACAAAAGAAATTTTGACTGAAAAAATGTTACTTCAAAAATTGTTCAAACATTTTAGATGAATTTTATTTAACTTTTTTTTTGTAATTAAAAATTTCAGACGTTAGAATGGGTTTCGAAATTTGGTGAACAATTGTATCCAGTTATAACATGTCAATCAATACGTATTGATTCGATACTTCGTGATTTGGAAGGATCCAAAAGACGTATTTTACCTGAATTAAACAAAGCAGTTGACGAATTAGATTCAAGAATTAAAAGTATCGATAATTTGGTAGAAAAAGGTAACCTTTTTATCATACTTCATTAATTTTCTAATCTTTGATAAAATTCATTAAATATTTTGTTCATTTTAATTTCAATGTTTATTAATTTACCAGGTGAGATGCACGTTGATCAACAAATTAAAGAAAAATTATCACAGATGTACGAAAAATTGCATACAACTGCTAAAAATTACAAAGATTTGTTGACATCATTAATTTCAATATTTGAAAATCTTCACGAGGTTGAACACAAAATAGAAGAATCTAAAACAAAAGTTGATCATGTCACATCATTTTCGAAATCTTACGACGTTGATTCAGTTTTGAACGACTTCGAAACGAACAAACGAACGATTACGGAATCTTTGAAACATATTCAAACAGAAATTGAAATAATCATTGGTAAAATTAAATTATTGGAACCACCGGAAGCTGCTTTACAGGATATTGACAAATTAAGATTAGCATTGGACAATGTTGTTTCACCTTTTCAAACATTTACCGTTCAAACTTTAACTCGTATTGAAGAACATCGTAGAATTTGTATCTTCAGTGAAGATCTTTCACGAATTGATTCGGATTTGCGAGATTTAAATGAACAATTGCAAACGGTTGATGCAAGATTTAACGAAAATTTGCAAGCTGCCAAAACTGCTGCTAATGCTTTCAATCAATTTGAAGCAACCATGACGGTGAGTTTTCATTTCAATGAATAATCCGATTACTTTTTAATTCTTTAATTAAATTTCAAATTTAATAATTTAATTTAATTCATTGATTATTTTTTGCTGCTTTTATTATTATTAAATTTGTGGAATATTAAATTACGGTAAGAGATCAAATATTTATCGAATTATAATATTTATTAATTAAATATAAAACAAAAATCAAAACAAAAACAATACACATAATGCAGTTTGTAACATAAACCTGAACTTTTGATTCATTCTATTATTAATAATAATATTTTTTGACAAATTAATAATATTTTTATAAATATTTATTATTGTAATATACAATTTTGTAGATGTTGGAACAAAGAATTGATGTATTTGTTAGAACAACTGAAAAAACCATTGTGATTTCAACCCCGCACGTTAGAAACGATTTGACATCGTTGAAAGAAAGATGGAGGGATTTGAAATCACGTATGGAAAATATTAAAAAACGTATGGTTTTGTGTATACAATATTTCGAATTATTGGAAGAAGCCAAAGAATGGTACAGAGAAGGTGGTAAACTTTTGATAGTAATCGCTAGAAAAGCAACAAGTGTTAAAGTTCCAAAAGATGCTATGGATTTACTTCAAGAAATTGAAAATTATTTAAAACCTGGTGAACAAAATCAAGATAATAGAATCGAAAGATTGAAAGAATTGTCAACACTTACATTTGGCATTGACAGATTACCACAGTTCAATGAAATTATCGTTGAAAATCGTCAAATGTTGGATTCATTCGCTGTAATTTCATCAGAATTGCGTACATTGATTCAAAATTTACAAAATGCCGAAGATTTGAGAGAAAAATTGAGAATAGAAAAGTTAGAAGCTGACGAAAAGTTGCATGCTGTTAAAAAAGAAATGGCAGCTGCTGAAGCAGCCAGGTTGGAAGCTGAAAATGCGAGAAAAATTGCGGAAAAACTTGCAGTTGAAACTTTGGAACGTGCAGAAATAGAAGCTAATAGATTGAAAGAAGAACAACTCGCTAAAATTGAAGCACAAAAAGTTTCTACACCAACACCAACACCACCACCACCGATGTCATTTTCTGTATCGGCTCAAACGGATAAATTTGATGGTGCAGATGAAAAATATATTCATGAAACTCATACTTCGGCTGTTACCAAAAAAGAAATTCATATTTTGGAAAAGGTAATAAAAATATATACGACTATAAATAAATAATATATAAAGTATATAAAAATCATTTCAATTTTATATTTCAGATGAAAATAGAAAAGATTGTACCAATTGTTCAAAAAGAACCAAGCCCACCAAAACAAATGATAGTTGAAGAATCCCATAAAACAATGGTGTACGAAACTGAGGAAAAAGTATCCCCAGAATTTACCATTCCATTGAACGATGCAACTGTTCAAGAAGGTGAAAGATTTACATTTGAATGCCGTTTAATTGGTTATCCAATACCAGAAGTTGTTTGGTATAAAGATGGAATATCAATTTTAAATAATCCTGATTATCTTACAACATTTCATCAAGGAATTTGTACACTTACGATTGAAGAAACATTTGCAGAAGATTCAGCAAAATTCACTTGCAAAGCATTCAATAATTTTGGTTCTGCTGAAACATCTGCAACATTAACAGTAAAAGGTTATTATTTTCATTTAATTTGAACAAAAACGAATGAATGTTTTAATCAAAATAATTGTTTTTGTTTTTATTTTATAGAAACTGCACCGGAGGAACAACCAAGTCCTCCAGTTTTCATCAAAGAATTAAAACAATCAACTGCAATTGAAGGTAATTCGTACAGACTAGAATGTACAGTTGAAGGTAATCCATTACCAACAGTTCAATGGTACAAAAATGAAACCAATATTGATAATTCTCCTGATTATATTATAACTTATAACAATGGGGAAGCTTGTATGAGTTTTGATGAAGTATTTTTAGACGATAAAGGAATTTATACTTGCAAAGCAACCAATAGGCTTGGACAAGTGTCTACTTCTGCAGTGCTTGATGTTAAATGTAAGTTTTTTTAAATTTATTTCGATATTTATTATTTTTATTATATGATTATACATTTTTTAATATTGTATTATTTATTAGATGATATAATTTTGTATTTTATAATCAAATGTAATATTTGGATGTTATAGCCATAGAAACGTCTACAGAAAAACCATATTTCTTGATACCATTGTCAAATGCTATGGCAAGAGCTGGACAAAGAGTTAAATTGGAATGTGAAGCTACTGGTAATCCAATGCCACAATTATTTTGGACTCATGATGGAAAACCAATTGATGAGACCACTCACACCAAAGTAATTATTTGCCATGAAAAAAAATGTTGATTTGTTTATTTTGTTTCTGTTACTTGTTCATTCTAATGACATTGATCATTTGTTTATTATTAGATACAAACGGAGAGTGGTCGTACAAGTTTGATCATTTCCGAAGCATTTCCAAAAGATGCTGGTTGTTATACGGTGACAGCTAAAAATGATATTGGTGAAGCCAGTGTATCCTGCAATGTATCCGTCAAAGGACTTTTACGTCGTGAAACAAGCGATTCTGAATTTGCTTGCAGCGACATGGAACCAACAGAACCCAAAATTCAACTACGTTTGAAGGATCACGAAGTTTTCGAAGGACATTCTGTTAGATTGGATTGTGTTATTGTTGGACAACCTGAACCTGAGGTAATTTTTTTTAAATTAATTTTTATTAATTAAATTAATTTATTTATAAATTATATTATTCATAATTATGCAAGTGTAAAATTAACATTAATTTTATTTTATATTATAAAAATTAAATTATGTTAGTATTTCGACATTATTGTAAAATTCAATTTTTAAAAACAAATTATTTTATTTTTAGGTTATTTGGTATCACAATGATAAACCTGTAAAAGAGTCCGTAGATTTTCAATTATTATTTCAAGGTGACAAATGTTCTTTGATTATTCACGAAGCTTACGTTGACGATGCAGGTGTATACAAAGTTGTTGCAATTAATTCTGGTGGTGAAACGTCTAGTCAATGTACATTAAAAGTACTACGTAAGTCAATTTAAATCATTTATCAAATTTATTTAATCAAAATTAATTTAATCCAAATATAACAAATTTTTTTTTTTATCAGCAATTGCTCGTAATTTGGAAGAAGCTGATGCGAAGGACAAAGAAATACCAGTTTCATCGTCACCAAGTTCACCACCAAAGTTCGTCAAATTGCCAACCGATTCTTTGGTTGCCGAAGGGGAGGATGCAAGTTTTGAATGTGCGGTGACAGGTGAACCAAAACCGGAAGTCAAATGGTACTTTGATAACAACGAAATCAAAACTGATAATAGAATTTTAGTGAGTTTTCATTAAATATAAAAAATATCATTCCATTTTTTAATCAATTATTTAATAATAAATGATTATTATTATTTAATACGATGAATAGATAAAAGAAAAAGAAGATGGTACGATAACGTTAAAAATTTTATCAACCATACCAGAAGACAAAGGTAATTACGTGGTAAAGGCCACGAATATTAGCGGAGAAGCAAAAGCATTCGCCAGATTGGTTGTCAGATCATTGACAGACTTCCGAAAAAAAGAAGAATTTGTTAAAATGGAAGAAAAATTGATAGCACCTAGTTTCAAAGAAAGATTTATCAACAGATTCGTACCGGAAGGTGTGTCAACCAAATTTGAATGCATCGTTGTTGGTAAACCCGTACCTAAGGTAAATCATCTAATCATTTTTTATTAATTAAACAATAAAATAAATATTATTTGATAATGAACAATTATGAAATAGCTCATATCTTTGAATAAGTTCAATAAAAAAGTGATAATTAAATTATCATTTACTATCAACGTTATAAGTAATACTAATCAGTGTAACAAGGTCAAATTTGATAGTTAAGGAATGAAAAGAATATTTCGAATCGTGTTGTATTATAGAAAGGTTGGCTAGACTGTTAGGAGGTAACCGACCAAGAGTAATTTCGTGCTACCCACCGGGGGTTATATTTAAACCTTGTACCCAATGTATATTCACGTTTGAAAATTCTGCGAGTGAGCGAGAGTTTACGGAACGTAACAGAACGGAAGAAGAAGAAGAAGAAGAAGAAGAAGAACATTTTTCGGCATAAGTTCGTTCGAATCATTTCATTCCATTTATCGGATATTATCAGGAAAAAAACATGACTCGTTTTTATTAAATATTTATTTAATATAAAATATAGAATAAAAAAAAGGGGAATAGGAAATATATTTTTGATTTCGATATTTAGATTCAGTGGTTGTTCAACGATCGACCTGTCCATGGAAAAGATTTTTTGGTTTCCGTTAGTGGAGATCGGCAGGTATTAACTATACCAGAAACCGAAAGTTCGCATGCTGGAACAATATCCTGTGTGGCGGAAAACACCGCCGGTAAGGCTACTTGCAACGCCAAATTAGAAATCGGTGAGTTTTTTTATTAATTATTTATTATTTGTTATTTTTTTTTTTTAATTGGTCCCAATTATCTTTTTTATTTTTTTTTTTATTTTATCGTTGTAACATTTAATTTTACATTTTTTATAATATATTAAATTTATTATATAATTTTAAATTTTATTATATTAAATTTATTATAATTTTAAATTGTATTACATTAAATTTATTATAATTTAAAATTTTATTATATTAAATTTATTATAATTTTAAATTTAAAATAATAGTAAATTTATAATAATTAAAAATAAAAAGAGAGAGTCTATTGCACTTATCAAAAGATCGAGTTAGAGGAATGCTAAAATAAATCGAATAATTCTAAACGGTGTTACGGTGTCACGAGTTATTAATACATTTTTATTTTCGTGACAAGTGTTTAGTGTTTGTAATATCGTGTCATTATTCGTGTAAATTTTCATTCACTAGGAATTGGCGCGAATTGCAAAAGTTAAATATTAATATTTTATAATTTTATGACAAACAATTGTGGTGACACAGTTTTTTGGGAAATTCGATAGGGTCCAACACTATTTTTGAAAAGACAAATTGTTCTTTTTACGTTTCATTGGCTAGTTTTTCTTTTATTAGAAATCTTTTTATCAGAATAATTGTATCTAATATTTTTTTTTTTTTTATCAAAATTGTCTTAATATTCAAAATTTCATTTATTTGGTTAATTTTGATCGAAACTTATCGACAAACCGATGATTCCCAATATTCGTAGGTGAGTTAAAGCATAAAGCGCAAGCGCAACTCATAAATACGATCCTACAAATTTATTTTTAACTTTAGGGTGCAGTTGAAGATGAGAGAATTTCTTCTTTTCCGTGTTCCCATATCTTTTTCAATAATCTTTTTGAGACATTTTTGAATCATCCACTATAAGTATCTATCTATTAAAGTAGGTTATTTTTTCTCGATGATCACACACAAAATTACTATTATATTTTATTTTTTTACAATTACATCTTCCGTATTTCAAACGAAAATAATTATTATTGGTAAATATGATAATACGGATTGAGAAAAAAGTAAATTAAAATAAAATAGATTTTTTTTTATAATTTAGAATACTTATAATGAAAAACGTGGTCTTTTTTTTTATTTCTATGTTAAATACTTTTACAAGTTTAATAGCAATTTCTCGTTATTTTTTATTTTTTATTATTAATTGTTTTTTTCTTTTTTTTTCTTTCTTATTTTTTTTTACAATCATACTTTTCGTATTTTAAACGAAAATAATTATTATTGATAAATATGATAATATAGTTTAAGAAAAATAAAATAAAATAAAATAAAGTAGATTTTTATTATAATTTAGGATACTTGTAATAAAACGTGGTTCTTTTTTTTTTGTATGTTAAATACTTTTGTACGTTTAATATTAATCTCACGTATTTTTTTTTTTATTTCAAATGCACTATTAGTACGTGCACGTACACTAACAGAAAATATATGTAGAAACCGTGTTATTTTTGTCAGCACGAATACCCAATACGTAGCTTAGTATAGAGTAGCTCTAACCCAGGGAATTTAAATGACCCTTCTTCTGGATCTTCAAATCCTATTAAGTATTATCTTATTTTATTGAATCATTATAAATTATTATTAATATGTAAAAAATTGATGCACATTTTTTTTCGTGTGTGGTTTGATTCATTAAAAAAAAAAAAAACTCAAAGTTCGTTAATTTATTTTTTTATTTCTTTTTTCTCCATATATTTTATTAAAGAATTTGGTTTATAAGATTCTGATATGAAAATAATGTTTAATATAAATCAAACGCCTACCAGATTTTCTACGATTAATTTAACTTATCCAGGACAGGTCAGATTTGCATATTGCGATCTAGTTAACATAGAAATGCATTCCCCGATCCTTTTAGTTAGTTCAAATCGTATGCATTTTGGTAACAAGCCAATATGTTTGGTTCCACTCGAATAGAGTATAAATTACAAATTAGAAACGTTTGACAAATAGTTAAAGGTATTACGTTTCTCATTCAATTTGTTTTCTATTCTATTTTTTTTAAATTATTTTTATATTTAATTTTAAAATTATTTTAATAATTCTTTCAATGTTTTTACAATATATATATATATGTATGCATCTATGATTCAGTAAAGGTATTACGTTTCTTATTGAATTTATTTTTATTTTTTTTCTTCTATTTCTTCAAATTATTTTTATATTTAATTGTAAAGTTTAGTAATAAAGTATTTTAATAATTCTTTAAATATTTTTACAATATATATATGTGTGTGTGTGTGTGTGTGTGTGTGCATCTATGATTAAAGTTACGCAATAACGACAAATTCTTAGATTTGAATTTAAACAGATGTGTTCCTATTGCGTATAGTTTAAATCATGCCAACTATTAATACATTGGTGATTTGAAAGAAATCAAATGCATTTATAGATTCCACTGTCAAACAACAAATAATGATCTATATATATCAATCCTATATTAATAAACAACATGACTAAGTTTTGATCTAATGATAACTCAATTAATCATTCTTTTATAATAATAATTATTAGGTATCGAACCGAAGAGGGAAGAAGAAGGTACAGAAAGGTTACTTCAGTTGGTTGAAATAAAACCTGTCGAAGACATGCACGCATCAAGTAGTAGTGATAAACATTTTACGGCTGAAAAAATGTCGGACGAGACTGGATTATCGGGTAGTCAAATTTTAACAAAAATGTCACAAACTATTACGGAATCAAAAACAACTCATACATCTACGAAAAAAGAATTTATATCATCGATGATGTCTTCGTCAATGGGAACACCTGGACAAGAACCTACGAGTGTTACTGTTAAAAGTACTGTTCATAGTACTGAACAATCAACTTCTGAAAATAATGCACCGCCTGTTGTTCAAGTAATTTTTTAAATAAAATATTAAAATGATTTTGATTAGAATAATCAGATAAAATTAAATAATAATTTTATTATATCAGTCACAGAAAATTGAAGAATTCGAAAAGATAATTCAAGATCAACCTGGTGAAATTCGTCAAGAAAAAACCGTAGTAGTGTCACAAGGAGAGGAAGGTATAAAACGTGATGGGAAAACTGCACAAGTACAAAAACCAAGTAGAAAATCAACAGCACCAAGATTTGTATCGCCATTAACAGGAATGATAGTTGATCAAGGTGCTGATATCATTCTCGAAGGAATCGTAGATGGTAAGAATAAACAATATTAATAAAATTAAATATTAATCTTGCATTAAAATTGAAAAATGTAAAATGTCAAAATCAAATCTGTTGGCAAAAAGTTTGTGTCATTGCACTTACTCGTCACATAATAAATTATTATGAAAATACAAACATTTGTTTGTGATATTCACACATTTTTTTGATCCACATAATTCTCAAATTTTAATATAATTTATTAATAAGTATATTTTATTATATTAGGTTACCCCCAACCAAATATTTCTTGGTCAAAGAACGGACAGGAATTACAAGCAAAGGATGGTGCTAAGACGAGTTATACTCACAACCACGTACGTTTAGAATTAAAAAATGTCAACGTGAAGAATGCTGGACGTTACACATGCACTGCCAACAACGAAGTTGGTTCTGCTAGCAGTACTGCTGATCTTGTAGTCAAAAGTAAATGAACCCCAATAACAATGAATAATTTATTTTACAAATTGTACATTATGATTGAAAAAAAATAACAAATGATTTTCTTGGTTCAGAAACCATCTTCCCACCTGTATTTGGTAGACGTTTGCAAGCACAAGTTGTCAAACGTGGTGACCGTGTGATTATGGAAGTTGAAATTACTGGAACCCCAGAACCTACTGTAACTTGGTACAAAGATGATATTCCAATTAAAGAACAACCACCATCATTAAGAATAAGACAACAAGGCAACTGTTATATATTGCAGATTGATAAAGGTAAATATAATTTATTTATTTATAAATGTTTGCCAAATCATATTTAATTCTTATTAATATTTATAGCTGAAAAAACACATGCTGGAAAATATATGGTACGTGCAATCAATGCTGGAGGTGAAGCACAAAGTATTGCAGATTTTGCTGTTTTTGAACCAACACCCGACACCATGACGGAAGTACACAAAACGGTTATTTACGAGAACGTTCAAGATAAAAAGATTATTCAGGTAAGTGTCATATTTTATTATATAAAAGAACATGTTCAATATTTTCTATGAAAAATTCGGTATTCATAAATCAATAGTATATAAAAAGTATGTGTGTGTATAATTGTACATAGCCTGACGTGAAAAAGGTTGATGATGTACCGTCAGCAACGACAACTTTGAAGACTGAGCAGATAACAGGGATGACAACGATCCAACCAAGTTCAATATTAAAAACAATTCCAACTCCTAGTCCAGCACCAATAACTACAACACCAATACTACCATCTTCCTTATCCACAATTCGTAAAACTGAAGTAATCGATGAAATTCCCGAAATGAAAACTTGCCGATCAGAAAAAATTTCGTCAACATTTGAATCCCATCAAACTGAAACTAAATCTGAACAAAAGTTTCATATGAAATTGGAACACAAAACTCCGCCAATAATCGAACCGAAAGCTCGTCCTGAGCTAACGACCACGGTAAAAAAGGTTGTTCAAGAAGATTTTACTTCAAAATTGATCGAACCACCTTCTGTTGCGACCGTGGAAGAACAAACGAAAATCGAAAACGAAAATATAGAAACATCGACCATTGCGAAAAAAGATGCGTTAAGTTTTTTCGAATCTATTACGAAAGAAAGTGAAACTGTGCCTAAAGGACCCAAAGAAATGATCAAATTGATCGATGATAGTGATGGAAAGGGTCACGAGGTTAAAGTTGGAAAATTAACTCAAAGTTACGAACGATCAACTGGATATCAAGAAATCAAAAAACCCGAACCTAAACCAATGGATTTTCAAACTACTAAAAAATCTGTTCAAGATATTTTCACTAAATTAGAACACGGATCATCAACCCGTGGTGTTGATAATAAATTATTTGATTTTCCATATTCGGATTACAAATCACCATTGTTAGATACTAAAAAAACCATTATGGAAGATATCACAATATCAAGTTCACCGATTGAGAGTAGTGCATCAATGTTTACAAGATTAGAAACTAAATCAGAAAGTAGTGAAACTATGATGAAAGGATTTACATTGGTACCAGAACCACCACCTGAAATAGGATACATGCCTAAACCTGATGAGATTAAAAAAAAGAGTCCCGAGGTACCAATCAAAGCTAAACAACTTCAAGAATCCTTCGAGAAAACATTATCCCCAATAGATGCTCCGATTGGTGGAGTGAAAATATTTCCTACGGTTCCTCAAAAGGTTATAGAAAGTCCTAAGATTGTTAAGAAACCATCAACTATGCCACCACCGCCATTTGAGTTAGATAAAAAGGAAGTTGTTGAAGAAGTGTGCATTAAAAAGGACGTTCATGAGAAAAAGGATAGCAGTAAAATGTTGAAGGAAGAAAAAATAGAATCACCAAAGTTTGTTTCAGTACCAAGCTACATCAGACCGGTTTCACCTGCAAGACCATGGTCTTCATCGTCAGATGTTGAAACGAGATCTCACGTATCTACGGATATTTCTGAATACAGGTGTCATTCAGCTGCTTCTAGTCATCAGGAAATATTACGATCGATATCACCGAGACCTTCTGTTGATGGTTTAGCTATGGAAAAATCATGGGCTAAGAAAAATACGGAAGCTACGAGAAAATCTTGGCCACCACAACCACCAACACCGAGTGATACAACTCCAACGTTGATCAAACAATTTCCTGGTGAAGATTATAAAACATCGACGAAAGAATTTAAACAGGAAACTGAACAGACACCTGATGGTGGTGTCAAAAAGACTAGTATTGAATCATCGAGTAGTTTGGAAAAACATTCTTGGAGTAGTAAACAAGAATCGATGGAAAAAATTGTAGAAAAAGCTCCGTCCCCATCTAAAGTGGTACCACCGATCATTTACAAAGCTGAAACAATTAAAGTTGATCATGCTATCAATACGATTCAAGAACAATCAATGCGTGAAAAGTATTCATCAGAATGTGACGTACAAAAACAATCGAGTTCGGAAAAAATAGTTGAAGAATATTCCTTGAAGAGTCCTTGGTCTGTTGGAACGGATTTGAAAGCACCAGGATTGGTGAAAAGTGTTGAACCACCGAAAAAAATATACGTTCCACCTACTCAAGAATCATCAAAAAAAATGACAGAATCTTATTCGTATGATTCGGTTATTTTAGAACCTGGTCCACCACCGGAAATTGGCTATGTTCCACCACCAATGGTAAAAGAGAAAAAAATAGAAATGTCAGTGGAAACCAAACCAGCTAAGATACCACCGAGTACTATTAAAACAATACCATCGTCAGTTTTACAAAAAAAGGAAGAATCACCACCAGTCTTACCACCCAAAGATGTTAAAATGACGCCACCACCGTTACCTGCTAAACAACAATCATCTTTGGATAATTTAGAACCATTTCCGTTCAAACCATCACCGTCACCAACTCAAACGAAACCAGTCACGAAAGTTGTACCACCTGTTACGACCCCAACTAAATTTGTCAAAGGAACTTTCGGCAGTGATTACGAATCTGACATGGATATTCACGTTAAACCAAAATGGCGACCGTACGAAAGTGACAGTGAAGAACCACGTTATCGTAGAGTACAAGCACCAGTTTCCAAACAAACGGTTAGACCAAGATCAACCGAACCTGAACCATTACCACCATCCAAATTCGACACGCCACCGGTTGAATTTTCAGGTCCATCCAAATCTATGCTGACTGAAGAATCTCAACAGAAAATGTATAAGAAAACAACATTCAAACGTCACGAAAGGGAAACAACCAAACAACAGCAACAACAACCGAAATATCAACCACCAATTCAACCACAAACTCCACCAATCGTTTTAAAACCAGGTTCCCCGCCAATTTACGTTCAACCTTCAACAATCAGCAAACCTCAGCCACCTAAATCTCCACCAACAAAGAAACCAGAGTCTCCTAAATTCAAGGTTAAAACTTTCCAACAGGAGAGTGGTTACATGGCGGATACTGATGAACCATTGCAACAAAAAGCATCCAATATTACCATTCAAAAAAGTTTTGGCAAACATGATGGTTCGACTAGTTCAACCAGCAGTTCACACATGGAATCTCGTACGTCGTATTCTGAAAGCAAATCTGAATACTTTGAAAGTAAAAGTTATCATAGTCATCAACAACAACAGAAAAAAGAAATATCATCATTCGTTCCAATTACTACTATTACAACACCATCTCCTAGTTCTTTTCCAAGTCAAAAACCTACCCCACAACAGAGAACTTCATTTGTTGAGAAGACATATTCTTCATCGAGTGGAACCGAGCCTACTAAATTAAAAACTTCGAAGGTTCGACGACGTATTTCTGGATCTTTCTGTTTGTTTGTTCGTTTGTTTGTTATTGTGTGTATTTTTAGAGATATTATATATTATTTTATAGTCCTAGGCAAGAACAATTAACAATTGAATCCCAAGATATCAATTGATTAACATTATAGTTATTTTATTGATAATGTTAGGTTAGAGTGATATTTTTGATGCATGAAAGATTATGCTTTGATCTGATGATTATTGTTAGTGCACACGAATAGTGATAGATGTTTATTTGTGTTTAGATTAACTTGTCTTTTTAGTTGATCGTTTTGTGCTTTTTTTTTTCTTAAGTAGATTAGGGTTGTCCAACTCACATTATCAATGTGGTTCGATTAATACAAAATTTGTATTAGAAAACCAAAAAGGTTGGACATCTCTGACGTTAGATGAAATGAAAGTTTAAAATTTGCTACTATTGGATTGGCAACTAAGTCATTGATTTTAAAAAACCACCTATCGACAAAATCCGCAATTATTTACTTGCCAACTCAATAGTTAAACAATAATCGTTTAAGATTAATTAAATTATCTCAATTATGTTTATATTTTCTGAACAGGAGACAGTTTTTACCACGGATCATTCTACCCATCGTAAAATGGAATCAACGCGCAAAGTTCAAGGACCCTCTCCAAGCCCTTCCAAATTTGTCAAGGGCGAGTTTCGTGAGAGCGATTACGAAAGTGATTACGATGGTAGAATATCATCAGTTTGGAAACCTCGAACAACCATTGAAACCGATGATCGTTCCTTTAAACCGGTGAAACCTACTCTAACTGGTCCAGGTATTTATGAAATTTATTAAATTTAGTTATTAATAATTTATTTGTCCAACTCACTAAAGTATTAATTTTTTAAAATACTTCTCTATAAAAAAAATAATTACTATTGCAATATTTTAACGTTAAGTTTAAAAGTAGTAGTGGTCCTCCTGATTAGATTTAGCATTTTTTTTCATATCCATTAACTTATTTTTTATTAATTCATTTTAATAATAATAATTCTATGTGACGGTGATGGGATAATCTTTTAGGGGTGTATTTTCTACTTTTTTTAATTTTTTTTTTAAATGTAACTTGGTAGGTCAATACGATCAGGATAATAATACAAAATCTCGTTCGTAAACGAGGTTAACAATATGATTGGAAGTTAGATCCTAATAGGATTATTACTTTTTGCAAATTTTTTCCAGCTTACAACAAGTAGACACCTCCCGGCAAAGCTTTCTTCTTCTTCTTCTTCTCCTATCGTAGTAAAATCTCACGAGACAAGTTTCTCCTATCTTCCTGCTTCGCTTGTCTCACTATCATATCTTTACTCTTCTTGGCTACTTCTGAGTACGTACGTTAGGTTATTAACAACAACCACCCTAACCTAACCTAACCTATAACCCCCACCCCCGTACACCCAGCTTTATCTTTTTCTAAATGCATCAACAACATTTATCTTATCTTTTATTATATCCAATAATCATCATCCATCAAGTTTTCTTGTCCTGCTTTTGATTCTCTTCGTTTCGTTCATTTGTTAGACATACAATAATAATTTGTAACATAACCTCATTGCAAGATATTTTAATTCCTCGAAAAACAAAAAAATTGAAAACATAAACGTAGCAAGGGTGGTACGAATCAATATTAATTTTAATTAAAAAATGGGGAGTCGAAAAATAAGAAAAAAATGACCACACACACACGAAACCCCCTGAAGTTCAAAAAGTTACTAGAAATCCAAATCTGTCCCTAAAAAAAAAAATTCGAATTCTATCTACGAACATGGATCACCATCCGAAAACAAATATTTTCTACTTAGGAAAATCAAAGGAACCGATCGTATCAACATTGCAACCTGATAAAATAATTGAAAAAACATCAACGAAAGAACAATACGAGCAAGATAATCGAATGGAAGACAGATCAATGATCGTTACTACACCAACTAGAATTAAACAAGTATTGTTACCTGGTTCACCACCTGAAATTGCATATGCACCACCTCAAGGTCAAGAAACTTATTACGAAGCTCGTGCAGGTATGCCTTATCACAATGCGATTGGTACGGAAACTAGGAAAACCGTTCGGATGGATGAATCGACGGAAAATAGTAGAAGAATCGTCACGGTTGAACAAACTAGTCGTGTTATCAAGTTTGGTGATAAACAAAAAAGTAGCAGTGATTTAGGATCATCGATGGATGATTCTACGAAAAAACAACAACAGAAATCTTATTATCGAGTACCAACACCTAAAAAATTCGTACAAGGTCAATTTCGGGAATCAGATTATGAGAGTGACGTTGATTCCAGTAGAATCAAACCTAAATGGGCACCTGCCGACAGTGATTCGGAAGATCCAAGATACAGAAGGGTACAACCACCTTCTGGTAAAAGTGTTAGGTCAAGTAGTCTTCCGGTTAGACAAGAACACGTTGTATCACCGTTGGAATTTGATACTGGACCACCAACACCATCATCAACTATGAAAAGACAAACATCGATGACCCAATTACGTGATGATATTAGAACAAGCAAGTTAGAATCAACTAAGTTTCAACAACAACCATTTACTAGACATGACGAATCAATGTTGCAACCTGGCTCACCACCGGAATTTGGTTTCGTTTCGAGGACCGACGTCAAAAAGGCTGCCAATCGTAAGGGCATTTTTCATCAAATATTTTTTATTGTTTTTTAGTTAATTATTTATACTTTCAATGCAAAAACAAAGAAAAAAAAGGAGTCCATTTGTTCTCCAAATTATTTTCAATTTATACGGGTTATTATGTTAAAGATAAGTATGACCGTTGATTGGTTAATGATCGATGCACAAAATTGCAAATTTTTGCAAAATTGCAAATTCATAGATAATAGTTTTTTTTTCTCCATTTCACTTTAATGTAAACAAAAAAAAAATAACCGTGTTTCTCATTTTACTCTCTTATACATATAGTTTCATCATTATTATCATTATCATTATAATTTTACACATTTATTACTATTTATTATTAATTTCATTAATTATTGACAATTATTTTCTCTATTTTTCATTTCCCATCCTTTTTTAATCTTAAAATTTCTTCTATAGTACTTTATTCACCTGTCTTTCTTTTTCATTTATACGCACACACATACAAACATATTATTTCCTCTGTTTTCTGTCTTTCTTGAAAAAAAAAAAATAATAAAATATTTGCTGACAAGCTCATATCCCGTAACACGAAACAAAAACAAAAAAATCTGAAACATCCGCAGACGTGGCGTCACGTCATATGAGCGACATGACGAGTACCTTCAAATCGAAGACCGAAAAATTCGTAAGCGACATCCAATCGGATCTGAAGCAAGGTAAACCAATCTTAAAACATCCTGCTGAGAGTCGTGTTAGCGATGGTGACGAACCACGGACTTATAGAGAAGAATCTCGGGTTGCTGAACACGGTAAACACACATTAAACATTTGACTTTTAACATAAAACACATTTCAAAAATATAATAGACAATTAAATTCACATTTATTAAACAAATGCTAATCGTAATAAATTATTATCGAAATATTCTACAAAGTAAATTACCAATAAAATATAAATTATGATTATATATATAAGTTTATCATCAATGAACAACTATACTACTACAGGGATGAAGCAAATCGATCCGGATACTGGATTAATATACTTCAAGTATGATTTCGGTTATGAATTTGGCATCGTATTACCGGGCGAAGGTAAAAAAACCATAACCAGTACCAACAAAACGATTCAAGGTCAAAGACGAGCAAGTGATATCGAGGTTCCAATAGTACACGAATTTACAACCAAAAAAGAAAATGGTTATGCTAAAAAAGAAAGTAGTAACATTTCATCGTCACGTGCAACTAAATCAACGAAATTTGGACCATCAAAAACAGTTAAATGGGAACCAACATCTGAGAGTGAATTTTCTGAAGCTGAAGATACGAAGAATGCTAGAAGAAGGTATCCAGGGTTTGGTGGAGATAATACAACTATGCCAGCACCACCTAGTTTGGTAATACCATGTTCACCGTCACCGTCCAGATGGGATCACACCACGCCTAGCCCACTTTCCCTCAGTCCAAGTTTGCCGAGTCTTTCTCCCCGATACAGTAGTGCAACTGGACCACCAAGCAACGTGGATTCTGCAGGTATATTTACCTGCCTTTTCAAAACATCCTTGCATTGTTTATTCATTGTCATGCAATAAGCTCATTTTGATTGCTAGTTTCAGATACGTTATTATCTGCTTTGCAATTTGTTTTATTGGGTTAGATGACCATAAGCTTGAAGCTGCTTTCAAAACATATACAACATGCACACACATACACACATGATTTAGAAATTTTGGTTATTATTCGAATAGTTCTGGAATATTTGATAATATTGATAAAGAAATAGAAATTATTGTTTCACTTAATGCATGTGAATTATAATAGGAATTGTTTATATAAGAAGGAAACCCTTTACCCTTCCAATTAATGACTAACTTAATGCATTAGTATATTTAGGCATGGTATTTGTTTCTTTTTCAGCATTTTTTTGTTCATTGCTTTATCAGTAAGCTCTTATATATAGAAGGTGGTATTGGGGTAAATGTTATATCATGTTTTTCTTTTTTTATGGGGTTTTGTTTAAAAAGTTTAAATAATAGTATTGTTTAATTAAACAGGTTCACCATGGCCAACGAGTAATGGGGTTTCATCAGCTAAAGAAGTAATTCAACCTTATCTTGAAATATTACCAAAGAAAGCACCTCTCTTTATCACGGTAAATTTAATGTTTATTTTAAAACCATAACAATCTAATATACAGGGTGATTCACAAGTACTTGCCACGTAAATAGAATAAAGTATGATAGTTACAGAAAAGTGGATAAGAAAAAGGTTGCATGACAAAATTCAGGACTACAATATGACATTAGTGTTTTTTGATTAGGTTAAGTCATTTTGGCAAAAGCTAGTGAATCACCCTATATATATTTTAGAATTATGTTAGATGATTTTTATTTGAAATTGATATTAGCCATTGAGAGACATCGCTGTTGTGAGTGGACAAACCGCTAGATTCGAGTGTATTGTTCAAGCAGAACCACAACCAAATATTTTATGGTCAAAGGATGGCAGAATCATTGAAAATTCAACCAACTATGAAATACATTATAGAAATGGTGTATGTCGTTTAACCATTGCTCATGCTTATCCTGGTACGTTTATCATTTTATTGTATATACACTTTTTTCATTTATAATTAACAATTTACTTTTATTTGAATTTTTGTTAGACGATGCTGGGACTTATGCTTGCACTGCCACAAATGGTTTAGGCTCAACCGTAACTTCGTCAACCTTGCAGGTCCCAGGTAACAGACGATCAATATACGCACCCATTTAATGATGATGATGATGGAAAAAGGTGTTAGTATATTAAAAAAATACGAAGGTGGTACAACAACAACCAAACTTAAAAATGTAATGGTAAAGCTTATGGTAATGAGGGGTGGTGGAAAATGTTTTCTAACCTTCTATTATCGTCCATGGGGAATTTGAAATTGTTAATTGAAATTATGTGTGTTTTCATGATAGCTTGGGATAATTGTTTTCAAACTCAACTCTCATATCTTTCATCAATTTTGAAAAATCGTAAAACAAAAACAAAGAAAGAAATTTAAAAAAAATTAAAATTACAAAGTTGATCGATTTTTCTTTCTTTTGATTTCAACTGCAGTAAGATTGTTTTGTATTTTTTAAATTAAAAAATAATTCGCAATTATGGACGAGAAATTCTAGTCAAATTGTTTAAATGAGAGTGTACGAGATGAAGAAAAAGAAGAAGAAGAAGAAGAAGAAGATGATGAATTTTGAGATGAATTATTTGTTTCGAATAAGTTGATGGTTGTTTTTACTTTGATTTTTTTTTTCTCTTTTTTTTTTCTTTTCTTTTTTTTTTATTATTTTTATTTTGTTCCGTAGCCGCGCGTACATAAAAAAAAAAAAGAAGAATTTACTTTACTAAAATAATAAATGAAAAATGCATTTTTTTGTCGTTGCTGAGACTTTCTAAAGAATTTCGAAAAAAACAAGAAAAAATAAAAAAAAAAAATAATAATATTAATAATAATAATAATAATAAATCGCTTTCATAGGCTATTTTTTTTTTCACTTACGTATTTATTTCTCTTGCATTTTTTTCCTTTCTTGCTCTCTTTATCTCTCTCTCTCTCTCTCTCTTTTTATCTTTTTTTCTAACTTTTTTTCTCAACCTATCATAAAAAATGAAAAAAAAAATAAATGATCTTTATTGATTTTTATTTTTCATACACAATTATTTAGAATTCACTTGTACCCTAAATGCATTAAAAAATGTAAAGAAAAAGATGAAAGAAAATTTTTTTGTAAAATGAAACGAGAAGAAGAAAAAGAAGATAAAAAAAGTTGGATCTGAAATAAAAAAGAAAGAAAAAAAAAGAAAAAGAGAGAAGATTCTAAAAAAAAAAAAAAAATAAACGTTCATTTACATTTCTCAAAATTGTTTTAAAAAAATCAAAATGTTAAATTATCTTATTTATTAATAATAATCTATTCAAAATAAATGTCTTTTTTGTTCGAACGAGAAAAAGAAAGAAAAACAAGAAAAAAAAACAAGAAATGAAAAAGAAATGCTAGTCACATTTTGTTACTTATTAAAAAAAAAAAAAAAAAAAAACTAGACGAACGATAAGAGATATTATTACAAATTATTTTTTTTTCTTTTCATTCGAGATGAGAATATAAAATCGGGTTGAGATAATCGAGAAAGAATTGTCGAAATGTGTGTTGTGTTATTTTTTTCTTTCAAATTTTTTTTTGGCATTTATCAAATTTTATTTCTCAATTTAATTAAAAAATGAATGAATAAATTTATGACGAAGATAAATAAAAAAGAAAGAAAAAAAAATAGCACGAGATTGTCGTAAACACACATTTGTGAAAAAAAAAGAAAAACGAAAAAAAAGTAAGAAAGATAAGAAAAAAAAAACATATACAAAATCATTGTTACTTGTTCTTATCATCGTCACCAACGCCTATTGGATGATATTACTGTGTAAATAAACGTGTGCTTCCTCTGCAATATATACATGAAAAAAAAAAAAATATGCTGGGTTTATTTATGGTGTAACAATTTATTTTTTCTCTCCCGCCCTGCTGTCGCTATTTTTCATATAATAATAATAAAAAAAAAAAATAAAATAAACAAATAAAAATAAAAAACAAAATTATTTTTACATGGGTACTTCATGGTTTAACTTTTGCTATGATGAATAATATATATTCACACTTATTTGCATGTATATAAAAAAACAAATCAAATGAATTCATTAAAGTAAAGGTTTTGTTATAAATAAAAATTTAATTAATTAATTGTAAAATGTAATCGTTGAATGTAATCTTGGGATTATAAATGTAGATATAGAATAATAATTAAGTAGAAAAAAAATAATTCATATTAAATTATGCATGAATGAATCTTATTTACAATTATTTATAATTAATGAATATTAGTATTTAAATTCGAGATTATGAGTCATTATACTAACACTTGGAATATCATTACTAATTTTTGGGTAACGGGTCACTTATTGCACGTATATATATGCATATACATATACATACACTCACACATATATAAATAGCAGGTATGTTTTAATTTAACATTTCTTTCATTTGCAACAAAAATGAAACTACTTGTAATATAATATATAAAACAATAATATTATTGTTATTATATATATATTGTAAATAACAATATTATTAATATTATGATTTGATTTTTCAAAAACGTTGGTAGTAAAAAGAAATTTTTGTGTCATTTTTATTGCATATCAAAATGTATTTTGTTTTAATGTAAATAGTTAGAAAAAAAATTAATTTTCCTATATAAATTTAATAAATAAATAATTAATATTGAAAAAAAATTTTCAACGTAAGATATAAAAATATAAAGGCAAGGTAAATCGTAAAATTACGTATGAAAATTGTTGAATCTTCTATCCTAAGAATAAACGTAGTATAAACAACACTAACGTATGTATATTAGTTACAATTCTTTAAAAAATGTTTATCATAATTTTTTTTCTATTTTTTTTTCTTCTTCTTCGAATATCAATAAAAGAACGTAAACGTATATTTCGCGAAATCTCATTCGCTTTAGACGATTTAAAAGAAATTCGTAGACAAAAGTAGAAACCCAAAAATAGTAAGATTTGATTACAAATTAAAATCGTTTGTAAGATTTTTTTTGGGTAAAAAGAGGATGACAGATTTTAAAAAGTGTCACCCAATTGTCAAGTGTGATTATCTATTTCTCTCTTTCTTTCTCACACATACCACACACACTTACGCACAATAATTTTAATCTTCGAGCAAAGAGAGTCACGATGAAAGAAACGATAGAGGAATACTCTTCGAGAGGGAGGAGGAGGAGGAGGAGGGGTGGGAGGGTCTGGCACGCAGGGGAATTGGCCAGAAATAGCAACGCCGATCGCAGCAAAATTTTGCGAGAGGAAAAATGGGAACGTTTTAGAATGTTGCAAAAGTTTATTGAGGAGTTGCGTGTGCATGAGAGTCTAGGTTTTATAATTTTTTTTTCTTTTATTTTCTTTTATTTTCTAGGGGGAATTTTTTCTTTCTTTAATACCACTGGTGGCTTAAAAAAATAAATATTTAAAAATTCATATATTATCAAAATTATTATTCGTATGAGAAATTATTAAAACTCGTAAGAAGTTTGGTCAAAACAAAAACAAAAATAAAATAATTTCGTAGGAAATAAATTGAGAAAAATAAGAAAAAAATTCACAGGTTAAATTAGTCGACATATGTTAACAAAAACACAAACACATACACGTGTTTTCCCTTCATGTCTAAATAAAAAAAAAATTAAAACACAATTAAAGGATCATTCTTTCAAAAATATTTGTTCGAAGTTTTATTCATCTTCAAAAACTGCAAATGAATGTAATGTTTGTATGAAATAGAGGATAAATGTTGGACAAATTATTTTGATAAATGTTCATTGACAAATATTTGTCTAGATCAAGAGAAGAGGATGGGAGGGGTTGTCGTAAAAACGAATAGCAAGACTTTAGTATTACGGTCAAGCAATACGTTCGTAACCGGATATTTCAAACGTGATGTAAAAAGAGAGCTTGTAAAGCTTTTTTTTTGTTTTCCCCTCCCTCTCGTTAAAATTTGTTTTGGAAAAGCTTTTATTTCGTCTACCGTACCTTATATACATAGGACAGTAGAGACCTTGAACAAGTTAAATAACCAATTAATTTGATAATTTACCTTAATATATATATAGATTAATTAAAGATCACTGGTTTAAGTTAAAGAAGATATGAAGTTGAATTTATTTCAAACACGTTGTTATTCGTTTATGCTTGAAAGGATCTTTAATCGTATTACCTGTATATAATACAATGTTTCGATATCGATTACGTCATTTACTTTTTTCTCGTTTAAAATTCAAAATGATATTTACTTAAGCTAATAACACGAAAAGTGGTAAGATGAACCAGATAATAATGAAGCAAAATGAATCGAAACAAATTCATAATTACTACAATTTTCGTATATATATATAAAGAACAAAAAAATTCGTATGCAAAAAAAAAAAGAACAAAAATTTTAAGTGAATAAGAAATAACTTTCTTTATCTTAGATTAAACCCAATTTCAGGGGTATCACCTTCACAATCTGACAATAGTAATCGATCCATCGATGAGGAATTATTGGAATGTTCACCAAGGTATGTAGCATTGAAGGATCTCTTTCTACCACGAGAAGAAATCAAACTCACTATAACGAATCATCGACACGCATCTATATACGAATTTTCTCTGGCACCTAATTACAGGTAGATAAATAATATATATATATATATATATATATACATAATATCATAATATTATTTGAATATTTTTAATTTAAATTTAATGATCAATATTAAACGTTTCTTAATTTAATTAAATTCTTTTTTTAATCAATTCAATAATATCTATCATTTTTTTATATACATATAAATATTATAAATCAGTAAGAATTATTCTAGACAACCCAAATTAGTTAACTGCATTCCGACTTGTGGGGTATTTAAAAAAAAAAAGAAATACGGAATTGCTTTTGCAGCTGCGAGGACGGGAGTTATCTTGAAAATCGTGACGATGAATACGAATACTCAGAGAGAACGGGAGAAGAATCTTACATTAAACCAAAACGTTTCGATTTTTACAATATCGACAGAAACGGGACATATTGTGACCTCGATCAGGATGATTACGAGAGGAACGAGACTGATTTACATTCGCAATCAATTCGCAGGATCAATTCGAACGGTAAAGTACATTTTTTTTCTTCATGATTATGATATAAATCTATATATAAAAAAAAAAAAAAAACAAGGATTTATATTATGAACGTTTTTTTAGGAATTATTTAAAAATATGAATCAGATTTATTTAAAAAATATAAAACCGAGGGTTCATGTTACAACTTTTTAATTTTTTATTTTTATTTTCTACCCACGTAACTATAAATTGTACGTATCTGTTAAGAATAAAGAAGAAAAAGAAGAAGAAGATGCTGTTGGGTACATTCAGGGACTTAGTAATTGATTACTCGTCGTTGTCCGTGAATTGTTAAAATAGAATTTCCACGTTTCCTCGGTTTTACTTTGCAGGTGGGACACGACAATATGTTCAAGCTTCAAACTAATGTTTTTTAAAGGGAACTGTTGAATCATAGACACAGACACGCGATGAAACACACACTAGAGGGGTATTAGTAACGCTCAAAGAATATTTCACAAATCTCAAAATAGAAGCTCGTTGGTTAAGAGAGTAGCTTAAAAGCTTTACCTCGGGTTAAATGATGATTCATATATTCGACCTACCTTTTTTAACTTACTGATATACTTCCTATAAGATATTTCAAAGTTTACTATTAATCTATCGAGTTTTGATTATTTTTACACCTTTTATTTAATATTTTAACAAATTATTTTTAAATAATTATCAAAATATTTTTTTAATTATCTAACACACTTAATTTTTACTTGATACTTCAAAGTTTCGAACAACCAATTAAATACTTCAAATAATAATTAAAATCAAAATATAATAAATTAATATAATAAACTATTTTAATATTTACTTATCATTAGTAGACTTTGTTGTAGTTATTACGAAACACCTAACAGGTAAAACGTAAGGTGTATATTATTTTTTTTTCTTCTCTCTCTTTCTCTCTCTGTCTTTCTTATCTCGTAACACGAAACCAAAGGCATTGTACAACGATTCCTTCCAACATCATAATGTCTGAATTACACGCTCGCGCGACTGGATCTGACCTACAACTCACGTAGCCGACGAGGTTTCGTACGAGTGCAGTTTAAACCGCACTTAGGTTAGATTGTACCGTATGTCTTCTACCTGGACGATAATAATCAGGCTGTGAGCTACTTTATTGGAAATCGTTCGATGATTAATTAATTAAATCAATTCATCATTTATTTTTTAATTGATTTTCTTCTCCAATCGTTTAAAAAATGAATAGAAGTAGAAGAAATGATCATTTTTCTTTATTTTTAAATTATTTTTGAATGTTTTTTCATTGAATTACAGTATAGTAAACTTCTGTATGCACGTATTACACTTAAGTTTGTTTGAACCAAGTTTAGCCAATGAACAAAAGTCCCTTCACCCTTCTGCCCCTCTCACTTCCCTTGATGAAAGAGTTCCGAGATCAAGTCAACGCATTTTGCGGTGACATGTTGCTGACGATTAGCTCTGGTTCTTTAAATTCGTTTGACAAAGACAACGACAATGACAACGACAATGACAACGACAATGACAACGACAATGACAACGAGAGTACGAAGGGACGACGATGGGCGTAATAATACTCGTAAGTGAGTACAAATGGATGAGTTGGGTGGTTAAGGACCTGGGGGACCTGGGAGAGTTTGGGGAGTTTGGAGGGACACATGGGGGAAAGTGTTGGAGACGATTAGGCCAAGTAGCATCCTTTTTAATTTGTTCAATCCAATCACTGTCATTGTATCTTTTATTTTGTTTTGTTTCTTCACTTGAATTTTAACCTCTAGTTTAACCATTGACACCCTTATCTTCTCGTTTTACGTCTACAAAGATCGAGTATCGAGAATTTTATTTTTAAATCGTTCGATGGGGTCTTTTCTTTTCGTTAAACGTTCAAAACTAACACATGATTTCAACATTGTGTCTTCTATGTCTCATTCTTTTTTTTTAGGTTTCTGATGGTTGGTTTTTATTTATATTTGTTCATCTTGTAATTGAATAATTCAAAGCTTTTGGAAATTTCTTTTTACCGTGTTCAACTAAGATTTCACGATTTCAATATTGTATTTTATTATTTCATTCTTCTTTAGGTTTCTTCTTGATTAATTTCATTTCTACTAATTCATCTGGTTAGTAAGATAATTTCAAAGTTTTCAAAATGAACTTTAAAACGATTATTTACCGTTACATCTATATTTGTATTGGGAACTTTGATCTTTTTATATTCTCGTTCTACCAGTTATAGTAAAAGATATATTTGGTGAAATAATTTCTTCAAAATATTCATTTTGATGATAGTCAAAGAAAAGAAAAGAAGAAGAAAAGAAAAAGTATGGGAATAATTTAGCCGGTTGACAGATCGTTACCGTATCATGCGATAGAGTTATGTAGGTGTATAGAAATGATGTTGTCCAACCGTTAGCATTCCGCATCCTGGCGAATCGGAGCGAGACACGCGCTGGTCCTAACAGACTTGCACACGGTAAATGTAATTTACGTTTGTGTGCTTCTACCAACTATGCAATATCACGATACACATATCCATACACATATATATACATTTTGTTTATATTAATATAATAATAATAATAATAATAATAATAATAATATCATATATAAATACATAAAATATAATTATTGTATACATTTTATCATCATAATGTATACAATAAATCTTCATTGATTATTAATTAAATATTTTAATTTATAATATGCATTATATATATACATATATATATATATATACATGTATTTTTTATTTAATTTTTGTTCTAATTTATTTTTTATTTCTTCACATTCATTATTTTTTATCTTTGTCGTTTATTCTATGAAACAAATATCTAAATGTCAATGATAGATGAAGCAATATGATCGTAATTGATATCATGACAGGTAAGATAGATCACGATTGTGGGACAGGTGAGGAGATACAGTGAGTTCTCGTTTCGATGATTATGATCGTTCTAACATCGTAAAATGCATCTCGAATGATAAGAGAGAAATCGAATAAGAAGAAAATAATGAAGATGGGATTCAAGAAGTGGAGATCAAGGAGGGATGAAGATATGAATACAGTCTATAAATGGTTGTACTAGTCAACTTGTATAAAGATAGAAGGAAAACACGTGGGGGACTTTTAGAAAGAATAAAAATAATAAAACAATAAGTATAAAAGAGAAACGAAGATTGTGGTATTTTAATTGACAGGTAAAATTAAATAAAGTTTCACCGTTGCATAAAAATATCTTTGAGAGAGAAAGAGATAAAATATAGTTCAAACAAAATAAATTAAATGTTAAGAAAGATTTATATCTTTGATATGAATTGAATAAATCATAAAAACGTATATAAAAATGATGTGATATATTTAATCAAGAAAAATAAAGAAAAGTAATTGATAAGGTATTTAAAAGATAAAGAAAATAATTATTGACAATAATAAAATAGTATTAATAATAAAATATAATTAATAATAATATTTATATTATTACTACTAATAATATTATTATTAATACTAATAATATGAGATAATAAAGTAATGAATGAATTTTAAAATAAATATTGAACAAATATTGTTTAAATATTTTTAATTCAAATTTAATAATTATAATTATATATTAATTAATTAATTTATAAATAATTAATATATAATATAATTATTAATTTTTTTTTAATTAATTTATTATATAAAATTAATTAAATATTAATATATTATATAATTATTAATTATATTTCATAGTAAATATATTAATATTATTAATCTCGCATATTAATTGAATATTAAAATATAACAAAATATATTTTTTTTAATTCTTATTTTAAAGATTAAAAATTCGTCTCAAAAAATGTCTTACGAATGATATGACATTTGATAAAAATGAATAATCGAAATAATAAATTAAATCATAACAAAATACGAGTGTATGTGACATATTGTCAAAGAAAGTGTAAGAAACAAGTACGATAACTAGTAAGAGGAATGGGGGGAAAAGAGTAAGTAAATAAGAGGTACGATGAGGTGTAAGAGAGATGTGAAGAGGTGTGAAGAGATGTAAGAAGAGGGAGTGCAAGAAAGTGGGGGGAGAAAATGCGTAGACGCGTGGGCGGTTGTCAGTGTGCTCGAGAACTGCGTGAGCCGCGGGTCGTTTCATTGCATCGTGTCAACTTTAATATCTGAATCATTGTCAAATATAGTTCAAACAACAAAAATTACATACACGTATATATATGTAATATTTTCAATTTGAACTAAATAACATTTACTTACATATATATTTTAATTAAATTTAATTTTTATTATTTCAAAAATATAAAACTTGGGGACAGTAAATTAAAATATAATTTTTTGGGTATTAAAAAAAACATAAATTATCTTAGTAATTATTTAAAACAAAAATATATATAGTACAATTTTTTTTTTCAATTAGTTTTTATATTTAAGTATATATATTTGTAAAGAAAAATAAAAATTACGAGTGCAATTAATAAATTAACATTAAATTATTTGTCTTTAGGAAACATAAGTGAATAATAAAATTACACAACATTAGATGATTCAGTTGTAACATAATCGAAACAAATTTGATCAGGAAAGAATTGGAATTCGGTAAAAATATAATTGCAAACTTTTTGTTATTTTTTTACGTAAAATAGAATAAGAATAAGAAGAAGAAACTAAACGAAATGGGGTTGACTTGAAATCAACGAAATACGAGAAAGAGAAAGAAAGAGAGAGAGAGAGAGAGAGAGAGAAAAAACTCGTGCAACTTTCGAGAAGAGAGTCAATGTCATTCGTTTATTATTACAGTAATTTTACACATACAAAACTGATCCTGAATTTCTTCGAAGATTTAAAACACGTTATACTAAGCCCGCCTACGTCTTGTTACAAAGAGCCAAGGCACATTTTTTTCAACTACAGTCACGAACATTTAGTTATTTTTATTCAACACGATATATTAAAAGTTTTTAATAATCATTCGAATTAAACAGTTTTATATTTCGTCTATATCTAATTTTTATAATTTATTATATTAATCATATAAGAAAATACGTAGGTTTTAAACTAAATTAGTCAAATATTCAATGACTTGATTCATTTTAAATACATCTGTCATACTTTTACATTGTTTGCGTCAATTCCATAAATTACTTTGAATTTTATTAATTTGAATTTATATTATTAATTGCATTAAATAATTTTTACACAATCAAATTAAATTATATTAAATTTAAATTTTATTAATATAAATTTTAGTAAAATAAATAAAATAAAATAAAATTTATATTTTATTAAAATAAATTTTATTGAAATAAATTAAATTAAATTAAATTTAAGTTTAAATTGTATTAAAATAAATTAAATTAAATTAAATTTAAGTTTAAATTTTATTAAAATAAATTTAATTAATTGAAATTAAAAAAACCCTTAATTCAAATATGAAAAACTGATCAACATAATAACTAAATGTTCCTTTTTTTCTATTTAAAAAAAATAAAGAGTGAGATAACAAATGTTATAAAAAAAATTAAAATGGCGATTGATTCAAGAAAATAATCACAATAAGTTGTTTTTATATTTAAAAATACTACGTCATTAAATAAATAATAATTTTCCGCGTGTGAAGAAGAAGAACCGTCAAGACTTCACCCTCACTTCACCCTCACTTCATCTCACCAAACTCAATTTCACCCTACTCTAAGAGAATCATCTTCGTTACCAACCCCCTCTCTTACTTTGTAAAGAGGGAGTAGTGGGAGGTTTCGTACGTTTTCCGAACTCGTCTCAGCCGGCAATTCGCATTCGACCGACGTCTTGGTTTAAAAGAGTCTCGGGGATTTGAGTTTTGAAGATGACTTGACTTCTGCCGACTGGAGTGAGATTAATATTTCAGCGATAATCTTAAGAAGATAAATCATTTTTTTTCCGATATATTTCGAGATATATTTCGAGATATATAAAACGAAGAATACGATCCTGAAGGATTATTCCTAAAGGATATACGCGAGTGATACAAAAATTATTTTGCTTGTTGTTGTTGAGAGTGTTATTTCTAATTTTTGGAGATAAAAAGTTTTAAAAAAGTTCACGAAGAAGAAGAGGAAGAAGAAGTTTTGTCAACGAATTTGAAGAGAAAATAATTCAAAAGGGATCAGAATACTGATCCCTAATAAACCCTCCATCTTTTGGAACGTTTTTTTGTTGTGAAACATCAATTTCGAACGTTTTTTTTTCTAAATCACAATGAAGCGACAACAACAACAACAGCAGCAGCAACAACAACAACAACAACAACAACAACAGATACAGCAACAACAACAGCAACAATATACGCAACAAAGAACCGAACGACAGGTTACTCGACAACAGATCACCAGTCAGCAGAGAGGTCAGTTTTTTAGTATTTCTTTTTCTCATGGAATCCATCATTTATTTAAAATTAATGAAATAATTCCATGGCGAAAAGAAAGTTTGCAAATTGCTTGAAATTTATTTAGTGAAAATGGGGAGGGGGGTTGATGTAAAATTGGGGGAATTTTATTGCGTAACTTGGCGTTGTATTTTTGTTACTGTTACATGATAATACTTTTTTTTCTTTTTGTTGATCATGTTTCACATATATATTTGTTATAAAAAATAATTAGGATGCTTTCCTGACACACATTGCTTTGATTTTGTTATAAAATGTTGATTTAAATATAATTATAAACTATTTAATAAATTAGCACTATTATAATGGAATACATAAAATAATAATACAAGTAAAAAAAAAAAAAATAAAAAGCAAGGGGTTAGTTATGTCATATGTCAATTTGAAAAAAAAAATGTATGACGTGTTATATCGAAATAATTGAATTGTAATACACCGCTATCTATTGGAAATTTATCGTACCTACAGACCTAGATAACCTATAAATAATTAAATACTTAAATTAGGGTTAAAAAAATACAAAATAATCGCGATAAAAACTATCCTAAGTTAAAAAACAATCCTAACTAACATAAATTGAAAAAAAACACGCAAAATACAAAAAAAATTGTATTAAAATCGGTTCAGTAGTTTTGAACTTCATTTGAAACAAATCAATGTGACACTGAATTTTTATGTAAAGATATTTGTTTTTTTCTGGTTCAATTAGTTGGAAGAAAATTTCGTGGTGTCTCCTCTTTTAATTCAGAATTTGGTTACTTAGTGAAAAATATCCCCCCCTGAAAGTTATTCTATTTTTGATGCGAGAGTACCGCCTCTGCGAAGAATCTAAAGATAGAATTTCGTGTTCTTTCGACGCCACATCTTTTGAAAATTCCACCACGCGTTTGCCCTCTAATTCTAACCAAGGAGTCTAGTCTCTATCTCACCCTACTCGATAAAACAATTTTCTATTATATTAATTCACATTTCAAATTTAATAATTTTTAATTCATTTCTAACAAAACAAACAAGTAATAGACCCAAATTTCAATCATTCTATATATGTTTCAATCATTTGATTTTTGACGTTTGTATTTCTGTCATTCTAATGATGCAAATATCATTTTTCTTTGACTTTATTTATTGCTTTTATTTCTTACAAAATTAAAAACAACTTCATTCTTTATGAATGTATATAAAAAAAAAAAAAAAAATAAAATAAATTTTGAATGATATAATTCGTTGACAATTTGATGTAAAATTTGTTTTATCAATTAGTATTCACAAAAAGTTTTAATTTATATTAATAAATATAATAAATTATTTAATATAATTTTATCGAGGAAAATTTTCCCACCAAGAAAAACAAATTCATTTCTTCTTACGTGTTTGACAGATAAATTTCTTTGTATGTGTTTGATAAAATTACAATCTTTTGAGAAAATTTGTGTCGATATATGATATTGGAAATATTCCAAAAAATTATGTTACAATTCTCCAATTGAACATGTCCTCGGATATATCATTCGTATTTACATTTTGTCTATAATATTATTGCATAATTTGATGCAAATGAAATCTATGCCAAAATCATTTAAGTAGAACAACAACCAAAAAAAAAAAATAACAAAAATCTCATACTTTATACCTGTGGTGTTTCCATGAATCATGTGTAGAAAATAACATTAGACTGTTTATTCTTGTTAGAAAGAAATGAGTGTTAGATCAAAATTGAAAATAACATCTCCACTGCAAAAAAAGTTGAATTTCATAATGTTATTTTAAGAAACTTGTTAATCATTTCTAATTCGTATGATTTCATTAAAAAAAAAAAAACAATTCATTCTCTCTATAAATAAGAAAAATCATTTTTCAGAATAAACTTTTTAACATATTTTAATAATTATGAGTAAACTTGAACATAATAATTCATCAATTGCAATTATGTGTCTTATAACATTTGGTTTTAATTTATTATCATAAACGTTTTAACTAAAAGTGTTTTGACTAATCGTTTAATTAATTTCTATTCTGTAATAATAATGATGAAATTAAACGTGATGATTGCACCTGTTAGAAAATGAATCTCTCAATTGTCTAATGAAATGTCAACGGACGATAATAACGTTTACTGTATCTAAAAAAAAAAAAAAGAGAAATTGCAAACGACATTGGTTCTGCCAACATCGGAATTTCAATTTGGCCGAATAACCGTACTTGTTTTCAATTTGGCATTGATTCTTGCAAAGTAACGTCAAACAATATGTTTTTATTATTATAAATATTTAATTTATTACAACGAATGATATTTTAGAAAGATTGCTGATATTTAATTAATTTTTGATTTTAATTTAATTTTGTTTTGTTTTAATAATTATTTATTTATTCAATATTATATAGGATAGTTATTCGTATGAATATTACGCATTAAACAAAAGATATGTTCAGAAATATTGAAGAACTATCTAAATCAGCATACTTTATGATACATAATTTAAAAAAAAAAATTGTATACCGCAGTAATTTGAAACACAGCTGATCGAACGTAACGCAACCTGTCATCGTCAGCATGAATCGTAAACAATAAATGACTTAAGAATAGAAATATCGTAAAATAATACTAATCAATTTGAAAATTAATTTCAAAACAGTTTGAAATTATTTTTCAAAAATTTCTTAACACTAAGAAATAAAAAAAATATTATTATAGAAAAGAATTATTGCATCTTGTGTAATAATAGGAAAGAATTATTGCATTTGGTGTGATAATAGGAAAGATTAGTTACAAAATATGAATTTTATTTTGCATAGACATATAGAATTGCAATCTCGTCGTTGCAGTATGCGTCTCGTGCACTGTGAAGATAATTGCTCTTAAAATGGCACAGAGTAACGTGATCCCCCATCTTGATACAAAAATAGGATACCTCACTTGTTCAAGTTAGAATTTCTTTTTCTTTTTCTCTCTCTTTCTTTCTTTTTCTTTTTTTTTGTCTTTTTTACTTCCACGAAATTTTGATTTCAAAGATGATAGTATTAATACATTTTTTTAATAATGAATACCCAAATTTAATTGGTGTATCAGAATATAAACAACTTTTTGACACTTTATACAATGTCTTTTTTTTATTTTAATTAATTCGTGTCACTTTAACTCATGAATTTCATCTATTCGAACAATTTTATCTTTTTTTTTTCTTTCATGATTTTCTTTCTGATGATTTTATTCCAGTAAGTCAATTAAGTTAAGTTCAATTATAACTCAGTGCTATTTTTATTCGAATCTTCTTCAAATTCTTGTTTCAACCTAGTTACCGTTCCCTTTTTGAAAACTCATTTTATTCTGAAGGGGGAAAAAGATGTGTAAAAAGGAAAGGGAAAGGATGCAAGATGCAAAAGATCACTGTCAACGAGTTATAAGATTCTCAGTTCGTTGTCAAAGTGTTGTAGTTCAACTAAATTATTTGTTTAAAATAAAACGCATTTATTAAAATCGTGGAATTTTCCAAAAAGAATTAAGGTCTAACAATTTGTAGATCGCATAATTTAAATGATAATATAAAAACATTATTTTAGGGAAAATTCGTATTGGCTTAAAACTTTGGCCAAATTCCAAGCAACGAAATATTCCAAATCGCGTTAACCGATTTCATCATAATCGATGCTAACAAATAAAAAAAACACCTTCATAACCATATCCCAAGGAAAAGTACGATTATTTATGATTCATACTTTGAAATAAAATTTCATTCGTTATTGTGAATGTGAATAAACATATTTAATCACAACATTGCCAAAAGAAATTCAAGCACCTGTAAGAACCAATACAAGATTTGTATAACTGCGGAACAATTTAAAACTAAGAAATTCTATGAATTTCTTTTTATTTGGGGATCCAAATATTCTCGATGTGATTTGAAATATTTTTATTTAATTTTTTTTTATTTAATTAGGAAAAGCTTTTGCGTGACGATGAAAGTGATGAATCGAAATATTCAATATGATTTGAAATATTTTTGTTGTTGTTAAATAAAGTACGATATTCGAAGAGTAAAGGGGATGAGAAAAGGAGAATGTGTGAGTTAGTGAGAAAGAAAGAGAGAGAGTGAGAGGGAGAAAGATTAACGCTATGAGCTATTTTATTTTGGTCAGTGACTGGCTTTGCGTAACGATGAACATGATTGGTCGAGGTACGCAACCATCCGGCATAGACACGTAGCGTCGGGACGCTATGCGACGACGTTTGGTGCCGAGCAGAGCAAAGATGGTTGCTCCTAAAATGGCCCAGGGTAACGCGATCCCCATCTGGATACAAAAATAGGATACCAACCTTCTTCAACTGTGATACATTCCTCTCTCTCTCTCTCTCTTTCTATCTCTTTCTATCTCTTACTCATTCTCATAAGTATACGACATATTTTTTTTTTTTCATTTTTTATTAAAACATTTTATCACAACCCTTATTCATCTTCACCAATTTTTTTGTTTTGTTTTATGCAAGTGACACATGCATACTCTTGACCTTCGAAAATGACAGGATAAATGAAACGTAACATTGTGTGTCCAGTAGGATGCAACACTGTTTGTTTGTTTCATCGATCATTCAACGTTATACTGAAGGTCATTGTACAGATTATAAAACAAACTCTTTTAGTAGATCACCAGAACAAATTCTTTAAATAGAAAATGTGTTACTACTCGTATTATATATATATACAATTGTAATTAAATGATTTTTATTGACGATGATAATGATGATGATATAGAAATGAGTCAACTCAATCATTGAGTTGAAGATGAATTAAATCATTTTATTTATATTATGAAAATAATCATCATGAATAGTGATAGTGTATTCTTAATTGGTTATTGTTCTTAATAGGCAATTAAGAGATAATTATTTGAAGAATTTTTTTTAACGAACAGATTTATTTCAACAATAATGTTGACGATGAAGATAAAATTAAATTCGTTCTACGTAATTTTGATTAAACCGATATTTAATTTGTCTCGTTATAATAAGTCAAGATACACCAATTTGTATTTTTCTTTTCTTATACAACCTAGTACGGTTTCAAATTTAATGAGCAAATTGGCTTAATTGCTAGGCGTCGAAAGTATTCCCATGAAAACGTATGATAGCCATGATGCGTGACGATTAACAGGAAAAATAACGAACATAAACGGTTCGTTTCCTCGATTCATGTTCTACCCTATTACTTCAACAGGAATTAAAATTACACATGTATTACATATTACATATTTCGTTCTTAAACCTAAAAGTGCGAATTAATAAAATAAAAACATATTGAAAAGTTTAATTAAAAATGAAGTGAAAAAAAACAAAAAATTTTAACAGGTGTTTAAAATTAATTAATCAGATTAATTTATCATTTTTTTTAAATTGTTTTATTTTTTTTTACAGTTCAAGGGGAAATAGTGATGCAAACGGCACCAACGATACCAACGTAAGTTATTACGTTTAATATTGATTAAATAATAAAAAATGAACGAATTAATTTATTATTAATATTATTAATAATTCTGTAGATTTACCGGAAGACCAGGTGATCCGTCGCCACCGGTATTCGAACAGATATTTAAAAATGCAAGATTTGCTCAAGGTGGCAATGCCATATTCGAGGGATGCGTACGTGGTAATCCAAAACCTAACGTTACTTGGACTCACAAGGGTGTACCTTTATTGGAATCACGAAAAATTCGGATGTCTTATGACGACAAAACTGGTGTTGTTACTTTACAAATCAATCAAATAGGTCCGGGAGATGAAGGTGAATACACGTGTAGTGCCAAAAATCAATATGGTAAGTTTATACAATACTTTTCATGTCTTTCATGTACATTCATACAATCAATGATATTTGCTAAAATTAATTATTTCAAATAATTGTTTGATATATATATATATATATA